CTGTATATATATATATATATATATATATATATATATATATATATATATATATATATATATATATATAATATCACGTTTTTATTTTATAATACTTCCTTGCCTTCTATTCAGTGTACAACAATGTTTGCACATAAGGCCGCTCGGTGCATCCTCTTTTATGACATAATGTATATATTGTAGTGCATAAATGTCGACATCAAGCGACCACAGGAAGTATCCCATGGTATCACCTTATAATAGAAATCGTGGCTGGAAATTTTCAATTTTATTTTGTTTTGCAAAACGTTCACAATTTACACACTGTAATATATATATATATATAGCTTATATACTATGTAGCATTGCAAAATGTTCACAATTTACACACTGTAATATATATATATATATATAGCTTATATACTATGTAGCATGGGTTATCTGGCCGGATAATCTGGTCGGATTATCTAGCCGGATGATCGGGGGGTAGGATCGTTCGAAAATCCGGATGATTAAAAAAAAAGGCCTCAAAAAAAAAAAAAAAAAAAAAGTGATATTGCGCATGCAAAGTACAATAGAACTATATTCCTATCTAAAAAAAAGTGAAATTTGATAGGGCCTAGAAGGGTTCAAAGGGGATAAGATAGGGAATAAAGGGGTTTAGAGGGGGGATGTTTAATTCATTCCATAATTTTTTATCTAAATATTGTTTTCTTGTTCTGTTTTATTTTTTATCTTCATATCTGTTGAGTAATCAAAGATGGTCTCAAGCCAAAAGTTGTTTATATCATTGATATGAACAATATAATTTTTTTTCAGATTTTTGTGAAGTTTTTTGTTTTGGTAAAAAAAATATATTTTGCGCAGGGCCGGATTTTCCATATCCTGAATTAATCCGGAAATTTCATCCGGATTGAAAATTCCGGATAAAATTGGTCTGCCGGATATCCGGATTTGCTACTTAGCGTATATATATATATATATATATATATAGTTGCACGGTAAACCGTTGACGTAAAGGGAGAAGAAAACAACAAATGAGGGTTTTTGATAAACTGTTTGGTTGGAGTTTCACCGAATTATATATATATATATATCTATATATATATATATATATATATATATACAGAGTTGCCAAGCCGAACGTACGGAGGCCCCTAAGCTGACCCCTGAATGTTCGGGCGTTCGGGTCCCCGTACGGGGCCCGAACTCGAAGGGGTTCGGACCCCGCAAAAAAATATTTTGGTACCTAAAAATTATTATTATTATTATTATTATTTTTGTGAGTTCTCTGTAATGTAAGCTACCTGTCTCTCCATTTTGAAGTCATTCTGTGGAGCCAAACAATAATGCAAAATCGGCAAAGATGGTGGTGTCAAAACTTGCTTTCCCACTTACTATTTTTTTATTTTTATTTTTTTCACTTTTTGTTTTCCCTTTATTTCGGAGCCTGAAAAAAATTATTATTTTTTTTAATTTTATTTGTAGGTTCTCTATTATGTAAGATACATATGTATAAAATTTAACGGCATTTGACAAAGCCAAAAAAAAAAAAAAAGTCGCCAAAGATGGCAGTGTCAAAAACTTGCTCGCCCACGCAATAATTTCATTCTCGTTTTATGTTTTCTTATTTTCATTAATATTATTTATTTTTCGTATTTGATTTTCATTTCAAATTTGGTAAGGAATTTGGATGTACTGTTGAGGCAAATGTTGTTTAGTTTATTCTTCTGCATGACATATATTTTTTTCAGAATTTTTGGAAACTTTTTGGTTGTTTTTTCTTTTTTTGTTTTTTTGGTTCCGCGTTCGGCCGAACGTCCGAACGCGTCGAGAGGGGGTCCCAAACGTTCGGGCGTTCGGGTTCAGGCGTTCGGCCCGTCCCGAACGTCGGCCACCACATATATATATATATATATATATCGTCAAATAGAACTGCCCGGTAAACCGTAGGCAGAGAGGTAGAAGAGGACAACAAACGAGGGGCTGTGACAAACTGTTTCGTCGGAGTTTCTATATATATATATATATATATATATATATATATGTGGTGGCCGACGTTAGGGACGGGCCGAACGCCCGAACGTTTGGGACCTCCGGGCCCGGCGTTCGGCCGTCCGCTGAGGCCAAAGTTTTTTTTTCTTTTTTTTTTCAAATTTACTATAGGGTTGCGGAGGTCGCCCCCCGCGCCTGTGCACCTTTAAAAATGAAAAAAAAAAAAAAAGAAACTGGACTGGGGGGCCGAGGCTATGGTGGACAACTAGGGCCTGACCAGACCCACGCCCACACACAGAGAATGACTTCCAGGCCGCTAGGCCTCCCCAGGTGGGGGGCATGCCATGTGTTGATGTTGTTGATGTTGGTGTTTCAATCCAGCATTTTTTTGGGATAATCAAATCACAATTTATGTGTCTCCTCTGTAAATCGTCCCATCTGCAACTCGTACAAAACCGACTCCATTTGTGTGTTGTCTCCTTCTGTTTTCTTTTGTCCATTGTTTTTTTTTTTGTAAAGGGGTTCAGCCCCTAACATTATTGTCATTTATTGTACCCATCAGGGTTCGAACTCATAACCTGACCCTCTACAGCTACATGTGATTGGGGTTGTCATGTCTCCTCCTTCCTTCCGCTTCATATGCATTGAATTCACGTCTTTGCCCTATTACTGTATATGTCATGGGCCTCACGACTCAAGCTTGAGATTTTCTCTTACATACACACACACACACACACACACACACACACACACACACATACCGAAACACACAATGGAGAGAATCTGGGGTTTCTAAAAAACAACGCACATTTCGGTGTCTTGCTAGCTCTCTCTCCGTTCGTTCTGAAAAACGCATCTGGGGTTTTTGAAAAACAACACACAATGGAGAGAATCTGGGGTTTCTGAAAAACAACACACATTTCGGTCCCATACGTTCGGGCGTCCACAATGCAGATTTGAGCGGTTAGGATAGGGCTCGTACTAGCGAGCTATTTTGTTTTTGTGGTTGGGTATGGTTGGATGTTTTTCGTTGATTATACACGGCCTAATTCTTTGCCCTGCTTTAGAGCATGGGCTTTTTACTGAGGGAATGTCTGTGGGTGGCCACGAGGTTTTTGGGGTGGGAATGTATGTTTGGAGTTTTGGCCAGAGTATCCTCGGGAGGAGGCTCAGTACCCGCACATCCACCCCTATGCAGTGCGGTACCGGCCTACCACTACTTGAGTGTTTTCCCGCTGCAATCCCCCGATGCCAAGGCCACAGGTAAGTATCGGCCCTGAGGGCCCAACGAACGAACAGGTGCCCTTACGGGCCACATTCAAGCAACCGGCACTCAGACAAGCACGGTCACACACACACTCAAGCTAACCAGCACTCAGATAGGCACAGTCACACACACTCACGCCATCCAGCACTCAGACAGACATGCAGTCCAGCAAGCATGCGTACACAGACTTAGCAGAAAGCGGGAAACTCAGTCAGGCATTCAGTCTATGGGCAAAACTCAGAAATCTGCTGTGTGTTTCAGTCCTTGTTCGGACGGGTCATCACAATGGTAATGCTGCTTGAATGAACATGACAACACACACACACACACACACACACACACACACACACACACACACACACACACACACACACACACACACTCAAGCCAACCAGCACTCAGACAGGCACGGTCACACACACTCACGCCATCCAACACTTAGACAGACATGCAGTCCAGCAAGCATGCATACACAGACTTAGCAGAAAGCGGGAAACTCAGTTAGGCATTCAGTCTATGGGCAAAACTCAGAAATCTGCTGTGTGTTTCAGTCCTTGTTCGGACGGGTCATCACAATGGTGATGCTGCTTGAACGAATATGACACACACACACACACACACACACACACACACACACACACACACACACAGGTACTAACCCTCTCTCTCTCTCTCTCTCTCTCTCTCTCTCTCTCTCTCTCTCTCAGGTACTAACCCTGCTACATGCCACCACATCATGCTGTACAAGAAAGTGCCACCTCCAGCAATGAGAACCCGATAACCACAAACGAGACAAAAAATGTGCAAAACTATCCCAACATATCCCCCTCTTCGACCTCGATCTCCGCATCGACCGCCTCCTCCTCCTCCTCCTCC